CCCACCGAACCTCCATCGGCGGCGCCCTCCTCTCTCGGCCAGCGACCCGCCCCGGCCCCAATTCCGCCATGCCCAAACCAAGACGCACATCGCAGAGCAGCCCACTCTGCCCGACCGCCTGGTTCGGCCTGTGACCATGGCCAGTTCGTCCTGATCTGGCCCGGTTAGCTCTCCTCAGTAAGCGAGAGACGTGGGCCCCCCCCCTTCTTCGAGAAGGAAATCCTGCCTGCAAACCAACGAGAAGGAGAGAAGAGCAGACAAGGGGGGGGGGATGCAGGTCCGTATGCTCTCGTGCATGCAGCATGTGCGAGTGCGAGCGACCATGCCCGCGTCGTGTCAGGGCCTCATCACGACTATGCATCATCACTGCCATCGTCGAGTCGACGGTACCGTCACACAGGCAGGGTTCGCCTCTATGAGTGCAGCCATATCCCTCTTTTAACCCCGCCCCTCCTCTCCTCGCCTCTCCTCTCCTCTCCTTTCCTCCCACCCTATTGTTCAAGGATGAACATTTCGTCTTCTACCGTGCGTGCATCGTGAGGTGAACAAGGCAGAGACCAGGACGCGGCAGGCGCCATCACGCACAAGACACTCGTGCGACTCCCTCTTTCCACATGTAGCACTTTCCATCGAGAGAGTCAACTTCTTTACTTCTGCACACCTTCAAGGCAGGCAAGTACCCCCATCTTGGCCGAAGAAGGTGCCTTACCTCGACTGCCTTTTTCCCAAGACGCACTCATGTCGACTTCATCACTCTCTCTCTCTCTCTCTCCCCATCCTCTACCCTACCCTGCTGCCACCTTCATCCAAAAGGGACCACGCCAGCCGCATCACGCCTTGCCCCAAACCACCCACAGCCGAGACCACGCTACGCCCTGAGACACCTAACCGCCTTGAGACCTGCCAGCCGGACCCTATCTAAGGACCGCAGCCGCTCTCCCAACTCGCCAATCTGAACCCTCGACCCGTCACCCGCCAGCTCTGCCAGCTTCGACGGCGCACCCATCGTCGTCCCATGGGCTCTGCCGCGATGCTCGCAGAGGCGGCCGCCTTGCCGGGCACGGCACCCGCCCTGCGCACCCCGCACGATGCCGAGGCCGACCGGAAAGAGTTTGCTCAGAACATCGCCAAACAGACCTACAAGGAATGGCCCAACGAGGCCGGTGTACGTTGGATCCCCCCCCTCTTTTCCCGCCCGACGCCTGGCCATCGTGCCCCCGTTCTGACAGCCCCAGTTTGACGGCCTCACCGAGGAACGAGGGCCCCTCGAACTGACCGTCCGCGGCCACATCCCCGACTGGGCGGCCGGCTCGCTGTACCGGACCGGCCCCGGCGCCTGCAAGGTCGAGAACAGCCCCAAAGGCACCCACTACGTCACGCACTGGTTCGACGGCTTCGCGCACACGCACCTCTTCCAGATCGTCCCCGCAGACGAAGCCGCCGGCACGCCCCTGCGCGTCGTCTACTCGTCGAGGCGCCAGGCGAGACGCTCGTCAGCGAGATCAGGGCTCAGGGCATGCGCAACGCCTACTCGTTCGGTCAGCGCCGGGACCCCTGCATTGGTCTGTTCGGAAAGGTCATGAGCATGTTCAGAAGCAGCCGCAGGGAGCCAACGTGTCCGTCGCCGTCAACACGAACGTGCCCGGCCTGTCGCCGCCAAAAGGCCGCCCAAGGGCGACGAGGCGGCCCCGTCGGGCGGCGGCCATCGCAACGGCGTCCGCAACGTGTGGGTCTCCACCGACGCCAGCATGCTGGTCGAGGCCGATCCCGACACCCTCGAGCCCGTCGGCGTCGCCCGGCAGGCCAAGCTGCATCCGGACCTCAAGGGCCCCAGCTCGTGCGCCCACGCGCAGCGGGACCCCGAGACGGGCGACCTCTTCAACTACAACCTCGACTTTGGCAGGACGGCCACGTATCGCGTGTTCCGTGTCAGCGCCGCTACGGGCAAGACGGACATACTGGCCACCATCAGCGACGCCGGCGCCAAGCCCGGCTACATGCACAGTTTCTTCCTGACGCCGAGCTACGTCGTCCTCTGCATCCCCGTCGCGCACTTTGGGCTGGCCGGGCTCAAGGTGCCGTGGAACCGGAACCTTCTCGACTCGATCGAGGCGTTTGACGCGACGCAGCGTTGCAAGTGGCTCGTCGTCGACCGCCGGGGGAAGAGGGGGCTCGTCGCCAGCTTTGACACGCCCGCCGCCTTTTTTTTCCACTCGGTCAATTCCTTTGAGGAGACGTCACCGGATGGGTCCGGCGTGGACCTCTTCTGCGATGTCGTCGAGTACCCGAATCAAGACGTCATCCGGAGCTTCAACTACGACGTGCTGCTCGACAGGAACGACGCCGCCAAGAGGTTCTGGGGCGAAAAGAACAGGCTGCAGACGCTCCACCCGCGGCTCGCCCGGTACCGTCTCGGCGTGCCGCTCACGTCGGGCAGGAAGCGGGGCCAGTGGGAACTCGTGTCTTCGATTCCCGGACCGCACGCCGGCGAGTTGCCTGTCATCAATCCGGCATACCACACGAAGCGGCACCGCTACGTGTACTCGCTGGCGAACCGGGGGCGAAGCACGCTGCTTGACACGGTCGTCAAGACGGACACGGAGACGAGGGGCGCGCTGCTCTGGGGGTGTCCGCGGGGGCACACACCAGGCGAGACCATCTTTGTGCCGCGCCCGTGCGCGGGGCAGGTGGCGGACGAGACGACGCGTGCTGTGAGCGTCGTGCTCGATGGCAGCGCGCAGAGGAGCTAC